GTTTAGGGGACGGCGGGGCGGTTGCGGGAGCGCCGCCGGCCGCGGGAGGCGGCATGCGAGAGGAAGAAGAAACTGTAGGGAGGAGGAAGAAACTGTTGGGAGGAGGAAGAAACAATCTGAGCCGTTCGTTTTCTATCCAACGCTTCAAATTCATCCAGGCCAAATCGACTGATTCAAAACGAGATTCAGTCGACTGGTTGAGCAAGACGTTCCCTTTTTTATATCTCAGTTTTTTTATATCTCAGTTGTCCGGAGACGATCTTTGTAGCAAGCTCATAATAGGTTAGTGTCATCGACGATGACAGAAACTGAATTGCATCGTGGGGCAGCTAGCTGATGCGACCCTCTTCAGTGCTTGTCCCTGGCTGCGCTCCTATTCATATATCCTCGGTTCATTTTTCATGTGTCGTGCTATCATTCACCTACCCGTGGTGTGACCGAAATTAATGGTTCCCATCCCACCCTGACAAGATGATTAGAGCTGACTTGTACACACTGGTAGTACTACGTACTATTTTTGGTGACGCGACCTTGTGTGTTTGTCCATGGCTGCGCAGCGCTTCTTTCTTTTTCTCTTTGGTCATTATCTCTCATGACTCATGAGAGCCATCACAGGGCACATGAATTTGACATTCACCTACCGGAGATGTGATAGAAAGTCTCTCTAAAAAAAAGAAGATGTGTTCCGACGAGTCCTTCGGTTGGCCACCACTCTTTGGCGAAGTGCGATGAGCCAAAAATGCAACTCAAAGCAACAACTTTATCCAAGTTATTTATTTCTTTATTTTGAAAAGTCAAAGGATCATATATACTCCCTCCATCCCGAATTACGTGTCGAAGAAATGGATATAAATGGAAGTATTTAGAACTATAAGCACGTTTAGATATATCAAATAATTCCGGGCGGCGCAGTATTAAGTAAGTGGCATAGGCCTGTACAAAAACACCTTCACTAATATCGAAAAACACACCTGAGTTTTTAGGATGTCGAAGTCTTCTTCCTTCTGCATACATGAGTTGCCCACACACACACACACATCATTCCAGTCGAGTTTTTTTTTATTTGTCGTTATAAGATGATGAAAGAGTATCATTGATTAAACCTTTAGCTAGCTGGTTGGTTCCGGTCATTGTTGCAAGGACCATTCGGTTTTCCACGGTAGTCAGGAAGGAACAACGTGGTATCCTCTTTCCTAACGAATAATTTTGTTTTCTTCTTTCCCTGAAGAAGTGGTCTATTCTCACAGGATTGACCAAACACGTTTCCACACCGTTTGTAAGTATCTCCGTCACGTCAACAGAGCAGCTTGCTAGGCAGGCACAGAAGGGTGTGACACTCCTGACCGGTGCCCTGTCTACGGAAGGCCAGCAGCAACAGCTCCTTAATTCTAGGGTGCATGTTTAAGATGACACCAATCATCGGTCGGCGTCTTGGACTTTGTCTAACCGTCTGATTTTACGCGAGAGTTTATGTCCATTCTTTCGGTTAGTCTAAAGTCTATGTCAAGCAATGCTACATCTATGTAATTTATTTACGTAATGTTATGCAGAGGCTGATTTGAACGGCACCTGATGACTTTTATATAGAGGGAACCATCTAATCTCTCGGGTTGCTGATTTTATTGATCCTATTTCTAATGAGTGTGATGTAGGACTGGTTAGACAAACTCTTTGGTCCATTGACGCACCACGAGTACTTGCTATCCCTCTCTCTCAACATGATATGCCGGACTTTGTTGCATGGAGCTATACAAAAAATGGTATATTCTCAGTTCGGTCAGTGTATTTCGTGGAATGGGAACATCAACACGGTAAAAAAAACTATGGCATATGAATGGTCGGGGAAGAACAACTGCAAATCCTATTTGGCATAAGATTTGGAAGCTCTCCTGTCCGGCTAAGGTGAAAATTTTCATTTGGCATACACTGCATGGGACGCTTCCGTGTCGTGTTATACTTGCCAATAGACATATCAAGGTATCGCCTCAATGTCCTGCCTGCTCTTCTAATCCAGAAGATACAAAGCATGTCTTATTTCTCCGCCACAAAGCAAGAGAGGTTTGGAGAAGGGTTTGAACGAAATCATTATGAGAGCCTGTGAAATTGATCAAGCGGGTGAGCGGTTCTGGAGTTCTTACTTCTTATGCCAGAACATGATTTGACCTTAGTGGCAACTAGGAATGTTCGAGAGACAATTGCCATTACTACCTGGTACCTCTGGTGGGAAAGACGTAAATTGGTCCATGAGGAAATAACCCAGAGTGTCTCTCAGATATCACAGGGGATCCGTGCAATTACAATAAATTTGTTATTGCTTGCTCTCCAAAAGCGACGATAAAAAAAGGGGGTCGGACCAGACCTCCTGTGGGTTTTGTAAAACTTAATGTTGATGCTTCGTTTAATCATGATGAGCTCAGGGGCACTGTTGGGGCAGTACTCAGGGATGACAGAGGTGAATGTATTGCAGGGGGAAAGGAAAAATAGACTGGTGCGTAGACGTCCTAGCAGCTGAAGCTTTGCCACTCCGATATGGGTTGTCCCTAGCACAAAGAATAGGGTGCAACCGTCTAGTTATCAATTCTGACAATCTAGAGGTCATCGAGACAATGAACAATGGAGGAGGTCATGCGATTGCAGCAGCGGTGATTTTCGATGATTGTTATCATCTCGCTTGTGATTTTCCTATTTCTAGGTTTGAACATTGTAATAGAGAAGCAAATAAGGTAGTTCACGAACTAGCTAGGTAGCGAGATTTTCTGCGACTTATGGTTGGTTTGAGGAACAGTTGAATGAAATTGTAAATTTCCTCACATACGATGTATCTATTTTATCTAATGAATAAAGTGGGTGGTGTTTTGTTTAAAAAAGTAGGATTCATACGTAGGTGTAGCATTTTTGGTCTATGTGTATGGTTTGCTTTGGATTTGCAACTTTGAAAGGTCCGAAACGTTGTAGAGCTAGGCATCACGATTTACTTCCCAAGAAAAACCAAGGTAAAAAGGGAAAATGTGAAATGAAAAATAAACTCAACTAAAGAGCTTATAGTTGTTTTTTTTTTGCTTTTAACACGTGTTTTACATCTGTGAATAGTTGAACCCGAGTGGCTAAGTCATTCACCCACTCCCCTAACAAAGTGTAAGGCTTGAAAAAATTCACACGGAGAGAAAAAACGTAAAAGGCTTGCTTAGAAAGCAATAGAAGGAAGAGATTAGACCGATCCACCTGGCCGTTGGTTTGACACTTGTCGGGTGTCGATCCAACCGTCCTTCGACATGCTGCTATATATGTTTCTCGCAAGAAAAAAAAAGACATGCTGCTATGTTGCTTCACTCGTCTCCTGGCATGCTCCTAGACAATTCTTTCTTACTACATGCATATGTTTGAAATGTTTCAAAAATCTTTTGCATGTTTTCCAACGAGCCGTGAGGAAAATGTTGGTACGATGATGTGCATGCATAAAAGTAAAGTAGCTGCTTTGCACGCGATGTTTAACCTTCCGATCCTTGTACGGTTGATGATCCAAAGGTCCAGCCCCGCGACGCGATGAAAGGCCACGGTAAATCGTCCTACAAAAGTCATACAAAGAGTATCATATGTGTAGCATTGCTCTAAAACAATGCTGCGAGTCTGTCTCAAACACCACTCTGGTGGCTCCCAGGTCGGCGGCCGTTGCCACCATATTTTGCGCGCCTTTCGTTTGTTTTGATGCGATTAGACGCTATAAAATTGCAATTTTAAGTGAGATGAGCAGGGAGGAGAATATCCGGCAGCTTTGGCGCCCCATAATGCAGGTGGCGCGCCGGAGATAACGTGAGGTGCGGTCCTCCGGGTGCTCACTAACGGTGGCGGCGGCCGGCCGGCCGGTCCCGGTTGAACAGTCGGATGGGATCATACTCATACGGAGACGGACAGTTTTCCATGCCAATTGATGTGTTGGACGCCTACATGGTGCGCACTGTCCACCACACACTGCATGCACTACTGGTCACCCGGCCGCCGTCAGCCGTCGCTCACCAGCCAGTCACCCGGCATCATGGAAAGGCGCCGCTCATCACGCGCGCTCGTGCGATCATCTTTCCACGGTTCCCGCACGACGAAAAAGGCGCCGAGGGAAGCGAGTGAGTGTTGTCCGCTTTTGGCGCACAACGGCTGCATACATATATTTTTCGGCCGGTGGACCGCCATGATCGATCGCTGCCGTTCGCCGGGCAGTGCGCATGGTCACCGCCGCACCGGCGAATATACTAATCTTGGCGGGGCGAGAAACGAGGAACTCGATTGTTTTGTTTCCCTTGAGGCCTCCACGAGCACGAGCGTGGCCTTGGCGCGCCGCCCGCATGCACGGCATGCATGCATGCATGGAACCTGGTACGTGACATTCTTTTCCGGCCGTGGATCGCCGTGGTGCGCACCGGCCGGTCGCGCACCCACGCGGGCGGCAACTAGCCAGTGGCCACCCACTCACACACACGGTTGTTCCCTGGCTCTTTTTGCTCACATCACGCGCACGTACGTACCAGCGG